ATGTTTTGCTCATGCCTTTTCAAGGGCGTAAAAGCTATCGAGCGTCCGATTCGACTTGTTGTTTGTATGCCGAGTGTAAAGGGTGGGAGCTGAAATAGGGAAAATCTTGCAGCCTTGTGTGGTTATTTGGTATGTGCTGAGCTTTTCGTTGGCGATGAACGCAGAGTACGGCGGCGTGTGTCTCCAGGCTGCATTTTTATTTATACAAACCATATATGCATACCGACGCGTGCGCAGTGTAAGGTAGCAGCAGCGCCGATGATGATCCAGTCCAAGCGCACACGGTTTCTGCATCTCCGCCGATGTCACAAGATACCGTGGAGCTATGGACGAGTAGCGACGGTGTAGGAAGTTTGGCAAAAACAAAACCAAAATACATCATTAGCGTTAAAAGAATGGACTGATAAAGCAAAATAGGACGGGAAGATCTGGCTGGTCGCGTCGACTCCAGTGGGCCATTGGAGCTCCGTGGTGTTTTTCAACGTCTCCAAGGCGACCGTCCATGACGAGAACGCCTCGTCGCCATGGAGACGTCTTAATCTCGAGGTTAAATGTAAATTCTAGCATTGCTGTGTTTGCAAAAGTCGGTGATCCTCATGTATTGAACACGCCGAACACCGAATCCAGTCGTTAATTTCTGCATGGCGCGTCGAAATCCGCACAAAACCACGTGTTTCCGCATACAAGCCAGTGGTTTTGCAGGAATTTGAGTGAATGCACGGTACAATCGCTGTGGTAGCGTGAATTTGCCGTGTAACACCATATGACGCTTTTGCATCACACGATATCAAGAAATGCATATAGTGTGCGTACTTGATTGGCAAACTCAACCTGAAGCAGGCCAAAGTATGATTTTCGGACCGAACGTACGCTTCTATCAGGCGTTTTGCAGGTGGCACCATCACAGACCAGCGGCCACAGGCCGAGCGACCAACGCCAATGACGGGCTCTTGCAAGAGCGCAGCGCGATGCTCTATCGTCATCCCACAGTCCGTGACTATTCCTCAGGCGTCGACGCACCAACGCTTGGCAAAAGG